TCGGGGCTGGGCGCTCATTCGCATATTTCGCCCAGTCTTACCCAACTACACTTTTTGCGTGGTCACATAGCCGCAGTCCGGCCGGAACCAGGATCAATGAAAATCACAAGATGGTAAGTTGGCCAATTCCTATTTTATCGGGAAAATAGCTGCTTAAAAATCTAATTTGTAGTGAACGGGTTTTTCTTTGTCTTTGTTTGAGGTATATTGGCCACATTTGCCTTGTAAAAACGGCGTTCGTCAGCGTATTTGTAAAAATATGCCTTGGCTAGTTCAAAGCAGCTCAACGCAGGCGTTCCCAAACTATGAAGTAAAATTATTGATTATTTCGATGTCAATCTTAGAATCGATTGTTATAGGAAAATTGTTAATAAATAAGATTAAAAGCATTGATTTTAATCAGTTCTCAGATTGATAACTTTCGATTTTTATGGATGGTTGTGGTTTTAAAGATTAACCTTATGTTTTGCTTCCGCAGAAACCCTAAAGTGTTGTTTAATTAGACTGGAAGGATTTTTTTTGACAAGAAACAGTTTACATGTCTTTATCATAACATACCTTGAAGCCCAATACCTAGGGCCATTCCAGTTAATATTGCAAGGGTTTGAAAGTTGTTTCTAATGTGGGTGGCTGTGTCGCCACCTTTTATTTTTGGAATATTTTGAGGGGTATGAGAAAAAAACGAAATTAATGTGCTTTTTCTGCGGGGCGAGGGGGAAAGGGGGGGCTTGCTGAGTTGGTACTATTCAGGGCTGTCAATTCTCCCGGATAATCCGGGATACTCCAGATTTATGGACCGTGTCTCCTGGTCTCCAGATTAGAGTCTGAAATCTCACAAGGCTGATTGCTGAAGTTTGCCATTGACGGTAGGCTTGACTTTCCAACAAAAAATTTCAAATATCTTGCATTGTTTTAGCTACTGTTGGCATAAAACGTTTCCTCATAAACTCCGGTATGCTATTGTTATATAGGCAATAATGTGATTAGTGGGAAGTAAACCGATCTGGCCCGAGTTGTTCGAAAGCTGGATAGTGCTATCCACCGGATAAATCACCATCCAGTGGATAAGTATTAGGGAAACCAATTGCGCTATCCAGTGAATAGAGATTTATCCAGTGGATAGTGCTATCCACCTTTTGAACAACTAGGGCCAGGTCGAATGTTTCAATGCCAACAACATCTTTTTCGCACATTTGGTTTGGGATGAAACAGGTCAAACCGTTAATCCTATCCATAACATTTTTATCATTTTGTAAGTTACTGATCCAGCCTCGTCCAGGTTTCTAACTTGACGAAAGAGATCTCTGAACAGTGGACCTTCAGATAAGGAGGGGGCCCGGTTGTCCATACCCTGAGATAAAGGGGGGTTCGGTCTCCAAAAAAAATTTTTCGGCCCTTTGGGCCTCAGTATGGCGTAAAAATAAGGGAGGGGGGGAGGTGGGCAGGGCTCCCCGGGCCCCTCCCCCGGATCCGCCACTGCAGAAGAAAAGATTACATGGAGTTCCTGTTTGGCTGACTTTTCCAACCAAGATTTCTTTAGTATAAACATTTTGATAGCTGAAGGATATTATATATTTACCTGTCTTGCAACCGACATGTCACTTGCTTTGGGCATGCATGTATTTCTGTAGAGATTCGAAACTCTGCATGCAGACATCTTCCACCATAGTAAAAAGCATGCAAAGTCTGAGGTTCTTTGCAATGGAAAAATAAGTTTGCTTCAACAATTTCAAAAGTTCATGGTCTGTGATTTATTGTGATTGGTTACTGGATTTCAATCCATTTGTGTGTTTCTGTCTTTCAATTTTCATATTTGGTTTTAATCTTAATTATAATTGACAGCAGGGAAAAACATAATCTTGTTAGCTAGCTTTTAAAATTCAGAATTTATACGTTATTGAAAAGCACTGGAACAAACATACATCTTGTCAATTGCTCTTATAATGCTGCAGTTGTGACGGTGACTTCTGATTGCAATCTGTGGACAGGCACAAAGAAAACATTCCCAGATAGAATCTCAACAATATCTCTTACTACTCATTGTTTCATTGGACCTTTTCAAACAAAGCTCTAGTGAACACTGACTTTAAGACTTTTGTTTTTTCCTTCACCAGAGTGACGACTTAATCATTTGTGATGTTGACCCTGAAGTAATAGAGAAGGCAGGGAAACTCAGGTTTTGTAAAGAAAAAACTTCAGCTGCAATTATCAGTAAGTCTGTGGCATGCAAGAGGAAATTACAATAAGATCCAGGGGAGGGCTGGACAGGTGTAGACCTCCCTACATGTACGTTGTTCAAATCAGAGAATTGTCTAAAGTACAGTGTGCCATGAAAATGAAGCAATTACCACTGATTTTGCATGCAACTTTTGCTTTTAAGCCCTAGTGTCCGCACACAAATTCTCCAGACCAGACTAATCTTAATACATTTCTTGAGGAATTAGTGAAGAGAAGTTGTTTAAAGATCAAATCATTTTCGTTAGGTGATCATTATGAATTTGCATAAATTTTTCTTTTTATTATTTATTGATATTGTGGCCTTTCAGCCATAGGGCTTGTTCACATTGGTTTTATTTGTCAACAAAATCATTTTATCACTTGGCATATAACACAAGAGGCAACCAATGCTTCAGAGCTGAGTACTTCATGAGAGGAATGTCACATGTTTTATAGTACAACAAATGTTTAACAAAGGGGAACTGTAGGAAGAACTGACACAACAGTGTACACAAGCCGTTAATTGTTGTTGCATTACGTATCAGCCCTTCATCAAATTAAGTAAATACACTGTAGAATAATAATTAAATAATTATTGTACTCACAGGAAAAAAAAAACGGATTTCCAATTTTTGGATATTTTAGGGTATTTAAAGAATACCCACAAAAATCCCAATTAATTTGGAAGAGTGAGACAAGTCCCAATCAGGGAACTTGGTTGGGAATTCCCTGGCTGGGACTTGTCTCATTTTGCCAAATTTGGAATTTTTTTGGTTTTTCCTGTGACTTTTGTTTTTGATTCTGATAAAGGACTAACTGGTAGAAAAGATAGCTCCTTTGTTTTTATAAGGTCTATTTAATACTGAAACTGTTATGTCATACATGTAGATATTGCAATTTTTCTTAATTCTTTTCTAGTGAAGATTGATGTGGATAAGCAGCTTGTTATTTTGGATGAGGAACACGAGGTAAAGCAAGTTTTCCCTTATTTTAATTCATGATTGGCAGTGATTAGCAACATTGTCAAGGAAGCCTAGCCCAATTTTCAGTGTTATTGTTTTCCACCGTTAAGATCTTGGGTGATTTGTCCACAGAACACTCGATCACTTTAGGATCCACATAAGACCCCATTAAGCTGTGTCAGTGCTAAAATTGTCCAAAATTTAATATTATGATTGTGACATCATTTTGATTCCATCTTTACAACCCAGATAATTAATGTTCTGTAGAATTTTATTTTCTGACAACAGAAGGTCTTTATTCTGATAAAGATTGACTGCTGCAGCTACATCCTTCCTAGTGGAAGGATGTACAAGCAAGGGTTGGTAGTCTTATTATGACAAAGTTAAATTTCTTTGTGATATGAAGTTTGTCCATTTCTGTTTTCGTTTTATCTGTCCTATTTGTGTTCTGCAAGTGCATGTGTAGCCTTATTTTTGAAAGTGAAAATTAGAATCTGTATTTTGTGTAAAATTTCCTGGTCGGTGGTTTTTCTAGTCAGATACCCTGTCAACTCCCCCATTTTATTATTACATGTAACTGAATATGATGTGACCCCACAATTAAAAAAAAGACTTGAAACTTGGTGGGAAGGGCGTTAAGCTGACTTCAGAGAATGTTGAGTCAAGAGAAATCTTTAAACCTTGTTGTTACTTATGTAATAATAATAATAATAATAATAATAATAATAATAATAATAATAATAATAATAATAATAATAATAATAATAATAACTTTATTAATATCCTCAAAAAGTTTAAACCTTGTTGTTGCTTATGTAATAATAATAATAATAATAATAATAATAATAATAATAATAATAATAATAATAATAATAATAATAACTTTATTAATCTCCTCAAAAAGGCTTTTCAGCTGAATTTACAATGTCAAGTATCTAAAACTTAGTTTTCCAAAAATACCCTTAAAAATGCTGTTTTATTTTTACTTTAAATACATCTAAACTAGTGATAGACTGAAACTCGTCTGGGAGACTATTCCACAGCTTTTGGCCTCTGAAGGTAATGCGCGCTGACCTGCAGCCGTCCTACAGAGTGGTATATGTAGGCAGTCCCTATTCCTAGTGTTGCAGTTGTGCACTTCCAATCTGGTTTTAAACTTCTGACAAAGATATGGAGGTGCAAGTCCATTTAAGCATTTGAATACCAGGGTAGCATCTCTAACCACAAGTTGTTTAATAATTTGGTAGCCATTGTAACTGCTTTATAAGCATAAGTGTAACATCAAATTTCCTCATTCCAGAAACTATCCAGGCTGCAAAATTTTGCGCTGTTTGTAATAGCTCGATGTTTTTCTTAGTGGTATTAGCCCATACTGATGAACAATACAATTTTAATTTACTGAATACGAGAGAATTAATTATAGTGATCAACATACGCTTATCAAACAGGTGTAGAGAAAAAGTACTTGATTTATGTGTAGGTGTAGAGAAAAAGTACTTGATTTATTGTGTCAGTTTTTGTTTTATTACAGGATATATCTGTGGACGATCTGAGAGAAGAGTTACCCGATCATCTACCACGGTATCCTTGTGTTATTCATTCTTGGTCTTAAGTAGTTTTCAAAGCGCCAGATAAGAGGTCATAACAACAATATTTAAATTACTATTCTTAATCTTTGTACTATACAGGTTTTTGACATCAACTTGTTGCCTCAACTAATAAAATGCATATGGTTGCCAGGCATAAAAATGTTAGGGGGAAAAAACTTTCACAATCAAATTTTGATCTGGCTATGACATCTGATCTTAAGGCCTACTTTTGCTGCTCTCTGCCAAATTTTATGTTTTTTGTACCATGATTTCCATTCTTGAAAAGTTCTTGAATTTTAGGGGAAGTCCTCAAAAAGACCTTAAATTCTATTTTTCCTTGAAAAGTCCTTAAATTTCTGGGCAAGTCCTTAAAAAGTCCTTGAATTTTCTTCAACTTTGAATTTAGTGGCATGGGAAGTGTTTTTTGATGATTTTTGGTTGTCCAAGACAGAATAATTATGAATCATAACCCAGAGAATTTAAAGGTTATTCACACAAAGTGCTCAATGTTTTATGCATCTGCACAATAAATTATTAACTATCAATTTAAGACAAGTGAACTAAAAAATGTAGAGAAGTTGGTGAAGCAAACAGTTCAAGCCCTAAAGCCTTATAAGAATAGACTGGGAATGTGCACTTTTGTATAATTTGTGAAAAATTTAATATATTCCTACACTGTAGTAGGTGGTCCTTGAAAATCTAATGCAACCCTTGAAAAGTCCTTGAAAAATGGTTACAATTTTTTGTGTGAACCCTGATACTTTTTTGATAATTCTTTCATGGCTATTGTGTGATAAAACCAAGGTTTTGCTGTTCACTTTTCCATGATTTTATTGATTACAACCACTTTCAGTAAATTTAAGTCACCATAGTACCATATATGTAGAGTCTCATTGAACACAAAGTGTGTCAGTATCAAAAGTATAGCTTTAAATTTGCTTTAAAGTGCTTACGAGGAGTGCTCCAAGCTAAACATTTTTCCAAGTCACCTTTTGACAACCTAATAAAATGGTCACCAGATATTAAAAATTTTGGTTGCCAGAGGGAAGAAAGTGTTCTTGACTGGTGTTAATAATATTATTTTATTGAGGGTTTGAAATAATGAACATGGCTTCCCTGAATTTAACGCGGTGGAATTTGGTGGTGCATGCGACATCTCAAGGCCTTATACATGAATTACTTTACCCAGACAAATAATTTGAATTTGTCTCTTTTGCTCAATTATTGAGCAAAAGAGACAAAATAAATTATATAAAAATTTCTTGCAAATGATGAAGATGATGTGATATTAAGTTGCCATTTTTTTTTAGATATTTGCCATAGCAACCAAAATAAGGCAGCTTGAATTGTGAGTAGCAATACTTAGTTCCCAGTGTAGACTGTCAGCTTTAAGGGAGGGAGATGCAAAGCCCTTTTTCGGTTGGACATTTTTGGGATCCAAAGGACTTTCTAGGTTTAGAAATTTTTTCGGTGACTATAACTTGGGTAGGATTAAAATACACTGATTTTTTGAGTGGGTTGATCATGATGAACATAAGGCATAATCCAAGGTAACCTTCACTTTAATGTCAAATAACTCTAATCCATTTTATTTGATACAGATAGATCTAACCTTTACATGCAAATGCAGGCTGGGAGACTTAGCAATTTGTTCATAAAAGTTTTTTTCATGGACAGCAGAAGTTGTCAGGTTCTAGGCTGTTAAACGCTTTCTTCTTTTGGGGGGGTTGACAGTTTGGCCTCATTTCACTTTCCTAGTGCTATTGTTCCTAAATTCCGCTGCATGCAGAGTAAAACATGGCTTCAATTTTACCTCATGCAGTGTATAGTGTTTGTTTACACGTCTGTTTGATTCCTTAATCACCTTCTTCAGCTATGTATTGTACAGTTATGTTCTTAAGCATGATGATGGCAGAGTATCGTACCCACTGGCTTTCATTTTCATCAGCCCTCAGGGTAAGGACAGGTTACTGAGCTATGTTGAGCTGTGTTGATTAGACTAGTATAGGTAATCATACAACTTAAAGTTCAATTTGGATTTTTTTGGCACAAGTGTATTTTTCAAAAAGTATTAAAATTATTTACATTCATTTGACATTTCTCACAATATCATACAAAGCTGTCTGAAAGATTGAATATTTTATAACAGTTTGTTGAGGTCAGCAGGTTCAGAACTCTCAATTCGCTGGAAAATTCCCTCTTCTTTTCAACATTATATTTATTATTGCCTAACATGTACTGATTTTTTTATAACATTATTACTTGTATGGGCCAATTTATGCCACTTTCCCATTGGTCAACTCAAGGTAGTATAAATATGCTCAGCCATGGGCTTGTTGAAAAGCATTTTCGTCATGCCTTGTTGCAGCGAATAGTTCCATGATTTATATATGCAGCCTTGTTTGATTTTAAGTGCCTAATAACAGTACATTGGGAATTATGTACATTTCTAAGTTTTATTGTGTGGCCTTGTCTACCCTCTGAAGTGAACTAGTCCACAGACATAGATGGAAGGTTTTATCTTTGTGAATTTCAGTTTATGATAAATGAGTCAATGTTTCAAATTTAGGGACTAAACCTGAACTGCAGATGATGTATGCTGGTTCAAAGACAAACCTTGTTAGAAAGCTAGGGGCAACAAAGGTAAGTATGAATGCTTTGTGTTTGTCCTGTACAATGTAAAATTTCATGCTGTGTGTATGTGTATCTGAAAGGGCACATTATATCAAACATCTAGAAAACAAGGACTCAAATCCACCCCCTCCTCTGGAGAAAAAAGCCCTAAATACTTTTTAACCTCTTCTTCTCCTGCCCAATTTTTATGGAACCCAAAAGCCTTTGAGACGGAATCCATCCTAGGAAATTGAGTATTTTGGTTGTCAGTGGACAAAAACCTTGTGCAAGAATATTGTATTCTTTATTACACTTTTTGAGGGCTATAAATGTAATAAGTTGTGTGAAATTAAACTCCAAGGAAAAGTTCTTATGGGATCACAAGAAAACAACCTTCAAAAGCTTCAAATTATTTTCACAAAATATGAAATCTTATGCATGACAATTTACCAGTGTTTTATCAATTCCTTTGAAATTTGAAATTTATTTTCTCAGGCTCCTATAAGAACTTGTCTTTGGTGTTATTACAGATAACTGTTAAATTACATCTATAGCCCTTGAAAAGTGTAAAAAAGAAGGCAACAATTATTGGCTTAAAATATTCTGGTACACCTTGTACAGGTTTTTGTCAATTAAAATTACTCAATTTCAAGGTGGATTCTGTCTTAATATTTACGGGATGGCCCTTTTATTTCATGCTCCAGGAGATTTTGCTGAAAGATGCTATTTGAAGCTATCTAGTTGAAGTGATTTCTTGTCATCTTTGATCTTTGTTGTGCTTATTTTTTTGCAAAGTTTGGGACACTGAAAAAGGTGACCACCACCCCCTTCCTGCTTCTTGGGGAAACAGCAGTACCAAGCAATAATTATTGCTAATTTAATAATTTTTATATCATAGGTTTTTGAGTTGAGGTCTAAAGAGGAAATGTCCGAAGAATGGTTGATTCAAAAGCTGAAGTTTTTCCGCTAGCCTTAAAGTTTTTTTTACGTATGCAATAATGGTGTTAGTTGCCAAAGGTTTTCCTCCATTACGAAAGAAATGCTCCTCAAACAGTTGACTTGCTTTAAATTCACAATAAGTGTATGTTTTGAGATATAATTGAATTATATTACATATTAATTTGGTAGTTATTACCAGATATTGTTAATATTCTGTACATGTAAGTTCGTACAGCCCACAAGGGAGGCACTCAAAGAAGAGTGGGGAAGGGATGAAAGTTTACTGGAAATGATGCAGATCAACCTGCGTCAACCCATAAGCCCTAATATCCATGTACAAATTCTCCACACTGATCTCAATACTTTTCTTTAAAGAATGTGGAGAGAATTCGATAAGAGATCTAGCGTTTGCTTTTTGGCAATAAGTTTTATCAGTTCTCTTTTAAACAAGACTGCGAGCAGTCCCTCAGGATGGTCATGCGAGCAAGGAAATCAAGTGAAGCGAGCGAAAGAAAAAAACAAGAAGCTGAGGGGAAGCTTGGCCATTTTGCTCTCTCCAGTCCTTCCGAACTTAGACTCGACTGACTGAAGAGGGGCTGCTCGCAGTCTACCTTTAAACCTTTTCTCTTGATGATGTATTGATATTGCTGGGCAAAAATTAATGTTGGTCACTCTGGGGACTAAAAGGGTTAAACCTAGTGTTGTTTCTAACATGCTCTTTGCAGTAGACTGCATTTGCAGATGTACTTCAACCTTGGCTAGTGAAGTTTGCAAAGAAACGTTGAGATCCTTGTTCTGGGCCCTAAAGGAGTCAATTATCGGAAGTGCATTTTGATTTTCTTTCTCCCTGATTGGCAAATCGATAAGGTCTTTTTTGACTGGCCAATCGTGGAATGTACTCAAATCCTGGTACACAGGTGGGTACCTAGAACAAGGATTTTGGCACTGTTTTGCAAAGGGGCTTAACCAGAGTTTAGTTTCATATGTGGTGCAATCCACCTTGCGGTCACCATAAATTAGTGACATCTTAAACTCCCTACTGCCAATCTTTAAACACTATCATCAGCATGTATATTTGCCACACTATTATACATGTTGTGGTTCTGATAAGAACTGAATAATTTTGTTTAACAATGAAGAACTTTTTTTTTTCACTTTGCACCCTCATTTTCCTTGTTTTTTCCCTCCCGTCCTTTATCTGTGTTTAATTAAGTGGTGTTATTATTTTTAGGAGAGAAAATACTCTGCTGATCACTCTTAATAATTATTTCTTACAATGAAACTTGATGTTTGTTAGTAAAGGTAGCATATTAATTATACTGTGTTGAGAAATTACAAAGGCATTTTCTTCGAGTTATACTTTGCGAATAAATTGGGATTTCTAATCCAAGCATACACTGTAGTCTAAAATAAAATGTGCCCTCAAATGCAGCAAGTTAAAATCATTTCTTTACTTGGGTATAATGAATATATTGCAGTTTGCTTCTAAGAACTTACCATTTTCTTAATATGATTCACTAATGTAATGAATAAAATATACTTACTGTGGAAATAAAGTCTTTTCATTTTAATTTCACTGTTTACTTGAAGAATAATACATAATATACTCGGTATATAGCCTCATTGGCATAAAATCGTCAGGAAACTTTTGGCTCTTTATCTACCCCCCCCCCTTCAAATTTTTGGCCAGTAGAGAGTTTTGTTCACGTAAGTATTTTTTAAAAAGGCCCAATTTTGGCAAGCAAGGAAAATGGTCAATGTGTACAGTGACTTCCAGTTCCTGCTGACTGACTGTAGTGCAAAATGATGTACTTGGACTTTTTACAGCCAGTCTCTAGTCTCTGGGTAAGGGGCAAGGCTGTGCAGTTGGTACAGGTAGTTCTATTCCAAATATTACTGGAAATCAAATTTTAATTTTTTGACTTTAAGTTTTCTTTTCCCCTGTAGAGCTTTAATATTATTATGATGTGTTCAGCACAATGATTAATGGCACAGTATAGCTCAAAAGTACATACTAAATAAAGGTGGCAATTATATACATGTAGATGTTAACTACTCCTTTTTTTAATGCCACTTTCCTTGGAAATACACATGGTTTTGTGTTTGGCTTCATCAGTGCCAAGTACTATTTAAATTATGGCTTTATTTGCCATCTGATCTCTGTCCATACAAAAGCACAAACTCAAACATCCGACATGTACAGAAGCCTTTCAGGAGCTGCCAAAATGCATTTAGGTAGAACATTGATTTCATAAATTATTCATCAGCCATCAAAAAGTAGACAACTTCACACGTTTCGTCCTCTCTAAGAAGATTCACGGATGAACTACAATTAAACCTTAAATCCTGCTGTACCATACATTACAGTCCAGTTAGATAACAATAATGAAAATCTTGCAAAATGCTTTTTTTTGTTCTTTCTGCCATTGTAGCAGTACAACTGAAGTAGCTTCCAGAGACACTATCAGACTAACATGGCATACATCATCCTATAACAAAATGGGGCAAAAAAATATAAGCACATGCACCATACAAATTGAAGGGGTCCAAGCAAAAACATTTCCTCCAAAAAGGAAATAGGGGGCGGGGGGTGTTTTTGCATGGAGTTGTTCCATTATCATCAGTAGAGTGTCCAGGGTTGTCAAAAGTACCATGCTGCTGTCGAAAATCACCACCTACTTGGTTAGTATCGGATGGCTACTGGCATTTCTTTACGGGTGGCGTTTTTAAAATAAAATATCCCTGGACTGGCCACAAACTTTGACGACTCGGCTGTCTACTTCTCAAACTCATTAATAATTCATAAAGAAAATTCAAAGGAAATTAATGTTTAATGAGTGTTTGGATATCGGATGAAAAACTGCTCATTTTTGCATCCTTAATTTCTCCTTCAAAAATGATTTTGTTTGAGAAGAAATATCAAACATTCGACACAGTGTTTCATCACCAGATGAAACAGCTCGAAGTTTGTCAAAAATACTCCGCTACGCGTCGTATTTTCAACTCTCTTCTCGGTGTTTCATCTGGTGATGAAACACTGCGTCTCATGTTTGATATATTACTTCAAAACTTTCTGACAACCCTGAGTGCCACACAGCAAGCAAATTTATTATTATCCTTCTTACACATGAATGCAGCAGTGTACCCTGGATTTTAGAGGACTAGACATTTTGGACCCCTGGCTATTAGAACAAGGGCCTGAATGAAGATAATTAGCTAACGAACAAATTAAAGGGGTGTGTGGAGCAAGGACCTTGGTAGTTAGGGCTGAAATGATTAGAAATTCACACTTACCTGTAGAGGTAATAAAAAAAGCTAAGGAGAAAGAATGCTAATTTAATCCATCCTTCCTTCTGGCAGCGAGACATTTCACTTGCGTTCATAACCTCTGTGGCATCATAAAGACCTGGAACACTCATTACTGGTCTGTTAACATACCTGAAATAAGGAAATAAACAATCAGGTGACTATTTTTTAAAAATCTTTTTTTTTTAGGTAATGAGATCTTCTGAGCCTCTGCATGGGTGTTTTTGACAAAACTGAAGTCTCGACTATTCCTGGCCCTATTAATACAGTGACAATCTTAAGGGTTGAAGAGATGATCGCATTGCCAATCAAGTTTGACAATGTTTTCCATGTAATAAATGCAAAGAAATCTGCCAAAAAGTGTGCTGCATGTGCAGAGTTTTTGTTCTGTTTATTAAACCTGTTGCTTTCTTTATTTTCTTGTTTCCTTCATCATTGTAGTTGTGCTGAGCTTGCTAATAGCACTGCCACACAAAATAATTCTTGATGTGATGATTTTGCCTGAAAAACTGATGATTTGATGGAAGACGGACGATGCGATCAACATCCGAAGGGACCCATAGAGAGGCTCTTCTGGTATAAAAGGTAACTGGCCCAGCTCGTCTCATCTTAAGTTGATTATTGTCTACTAAGGCAAAAAAGAACTGTAAAAACATGTACATTAATTTTTTTGGTTAATCAAGATTTAAATATTTTTGTTAACTGTTATGTTTAATAATTTTCTTTTGCTATATTTACCTGTGAACATTGTAGATTATTAAAGGAAGATTAAAAAGAAATGCAGTCCACTGTCCCCCAGCCAAGAGAAGTAAACTAATGAACAAGTGGATTCCATATTCTGGTAAAACAAGCTGTCAAACAAGATTGTTATAAACAATAAACTGTTGGTTCAACTTAATAGTTATAAACTGCTACATTGTGCTTGAAAAAAGCCTTATTATGATTGATTTTGTCCTAATTTACATAATTTTTCAAATATAAAACACATCGCAGGTGTTTTAACTTATATATAATAAATAAATGCACTATTTGCTATATAGTAAACTTAAGCTTTTACAGGTTCGTTGTAGCAAAAAATGTCTAACATCGAGTTTGTTTAGTGCCAATGACCCTCAATACATACATGTACCATAAAAAAACGAATCTTAAATATAATAATAACGCTGTTTCAAAAAAACTTTTAGCTTTGTAATGATATTGCGAGAAATATCAACTTAGATAAGCTTACATGTAAGTTTACGGCCCGGCCCAATTAACTAACAGAACACGTCTACATGCTTTAGTGAAGTATGACTCTCTATGATAGACGTTTCATGCATAAACCTGATGTACACAGTTTGTTACTAACCAATCAAAGATCGATGGAGATAAAAATAGCTATAAGTTCATAAACTCACCGGATTTAAACTGTTACAAAGGTCTACGGGGTTCTTGTAATCAGTCCTGAGGTCGTCAAAAGCTATTATCTACAGGGAAAGGAGAGACCAAGCATTGAGTTGGAAGCAAGAAAACACCAAGTTTTGGGCACATCCTTGTACTTACGTTCCATATTGCGAAAAATATCAAAGCAATGCTGATAATTATCCCTAAAATAAAAGCAAAAACTTCGAAGGACATGTTCGCTGGTTGACAAGATGTCACTGCGGCCCGGTCACTAAGCTGGTGTTAGCTCTCCATGTAAACCTCCATGTACTGTAATAAATTCAAGAAGATAAATTGGTTTGTTCTGGCTTTCGGTGTGGTTATTTTCCCGATCCGCTGCGATTTAGGCGATTTACCCTTTGATCACCTTCGTTCACCTCCTGATCTATCTTTATCCACCTTCATTCAGTTTTAATGATTCACGGGATTTCTCCTTAGCCTGTTCCAGGCGTTATTCAGTATGAGGGTATATCTATGACAAAATTCAGTAACCTAAAAGTGAAAACGGTTAGGTCAAATCTGAAATATACCGAGTCAAAGTTGGTAAAAAAAAAAAACCACGTTAAGAAACACTAAAAAAGCCACTATCATATAGGTATCACGCAGAAAAAGGCATCACGCTAAAAGGCAACACGCAAAGAGGCATCACGCAAAGAGCCAACATGCAAAAAGGCATCACGCAAAGAGGCATAACGCAAAGAGGCAGCACGCAAAAAGGCATCACGAAAAAAGGCAACACGCAAAAAGGCAACACGCAAAAAAGCATAACGCAAAAAGGCAACACGCAAAAAGGCATCACAAAAAAGGCAATTTGCAAAAAGGGCATCACGTGAGAAGTTTACTTAGGATCCAGGCCTGGATCTTAAACAGTATTATTTAGTACATACTAGCGGTTCTTCGTGCAGCGTTACCAGTAGTGGAAAATCGGCGTCAATCTGAGGATGATCACACCATATGAGGGATCATGATCATCCTCAGATTTACGGCAATTTTGCTTGCAGTATGTACTAAATAATACTGTTTAAGATCCAAGCCTGGATCCTAAGTGAACTTATCACGTTCTCTTTTTTGCAAATTGCCATTTTTTGCAAACTGCCTTTTTTGCGATGCCTTTTTGCGTGTTGCCTTTTAGCGTTTATGTTTTTTTGCGTACTGCCTTTTTGCCTGTTGCCTCTTTGCGCACTGCCTTTTTGCGTTATGTTTTTTTGCGTGTTGCTTCTTTGCGTGATGCCTTTTTGCGTGTTGGCTCTTTTCGTGATGTCTCTTTGCATGTTGCCTTTTAGCGTGATGCCTTTTTCGCGTGATACCTCTGTGACAGTGGCTTTTTTAGTATTTCTTCCTTTTAACGTGGTCCTTTTTTTACCAACTTTGACTCGGTAAGTTTCAGATTTGACTTAACCCTTTTCACTTTTGGGTTATTGAATTTTGTCATAGATATACCCTCATATTATGCACCTTACTATACTTTTACTAGTTACCTTCATGTTCTTTTCTACTTTTATCCAGTAAATTCATCTCATTTATTTTCATTTACCTTTATTAACCACCTTGACTTACCTTCATTTAGTTTCTTTCAACTAAATTCACTTTAATTCTGCTTTATTTTTAGACTTTCATTTTCCTTTATTCACTTTTGTGCACCATTAATTTATTCATCTGCATTCGCCCTCAGTCACTTTTGTTCACCTTCATCTTTTACAGGAGACCTGCTTCACTCAGATACCAGTCTGTATCTTGCCAGACATTGAGGACATTTTACCCTGATTTTGCCTCGCTTTCCTGCCGGGTTTAACAACACAGCTGACAGGTGCAATGCTGGCTCAGCCACGTGCTTTACTCTCCTCGCTTCTCACTGACTTCTCACGTAATTTTTTGTTTTTTAGTTTAGGACTTTTTTAATAATAATATAAAAAATGGGCTAGTCATGTCAGCAGCAGTTCCCTGCTTTTCAGTAGAGCCTTTTAAAAGAAAACAAAACAATGCTCCTAATTAACTAGCCTGCGTGACACTTTTTCTTGACCCGCAATAAAGGAAATAGGAGACGTCCGCACTGGGCACGCTCTTTCGCCAAGGGAAAATTTCAATCCCTGATTTTATGAAATACAACTGGTCTTATTCGTCGGATTCTAGGTTTCGTACTGCAGCGGTATATGGCAGTCTTTGTAAGTACACAGCAAAATACTCGTGTAAAAACCTCTAAGAACCTGTCAGGCTAAAAGTCGCCAGTTAGGCCCCTTCTATATAAGAACCTGTTTAGCCTGAAATTTGAAACAGGTTCTTATTTTCTAAAATCTATAAAAATTTCTGTACACTTATGCAAATAAGATAAGTTACGATTGAGTATCCTCTCGGAAGACAGACAGGTGCCTTACATGTAATTCTACAGTGTAATGGATGCAGTTTTAAGGAATAAGCTAAATAGTTTTACGCTAAATACCACGTTATAAGCACACAATTTCAGTGTATAAATAAGCTAAATAGCCTATGTGCTAGTCACCCATTTATGAAAGAACCTGTTCAGCCTAACTTAGGAAAATGAAGGTTTACACACGCTTTTTTATTGTAGTCCTTGAGCTGACCATTCTTTACCAGCCGAGTCTTTGCCATGATTTGAATCGGTGAAAATGACGTAAATGATCCATTCAAGAGTGGGTGTTAATTATCTCTTAGACCCAATTTCCACATTTCGTCAACGAACACCAGAAATGAAATCAGTAAGACTGACGTCTTTCCTAGCATTTCATATATTATTCTAATTAGCCCAAGGCAAATATTTCCTTTGGTGGCCACATTTTTTCACGCCTGCCGAACTCCCTGAAAGAGAGATTAAGAGTTACTTTCACGTTGAACGAACCAAAATTTTTGGGTTAAAATTTGCAGGCAACCGTAAAAGTTAATGCAAGAAAAATCCTGTAATATCAGAGCTTTCTTCATGTGTTTTTCTTAATTCGGCGGTGAGATCCCAATTTTTTAATTGTCTTTGCTTGAAATGATTGTATGCAAAATGCATTTCATAATTTCAATGGATTCATTCATTTAAATGGGAACTTCGTTCGCGCTTTAATGTTAACGTTGTTTTGTTGCTGCTGCTAATTTATGAACTGACGGTTACGAAAACAACACTTAGCCGTAAGCCATTAGTAAAGTGATAGTTTGGTAAAGTGGACCCTCATGTAAACAAATAACAGAATTTCAAGAGTAGTTGAGAAGAACCTTATATTCATAAGATCTTGCAAATCGAAATTAAACTTTTCAAAAACCTTTCAACAGTTGCGAAGGTAGCCTGTTCCATGCTCCGAGGAGATAGTCGGGTCCGCGAAATTGTGAAGAGCGCGAACACGAAATTAAAACACCTTATCCCTGACTATCCGACAACAAGAACAATATCGCTAAGTTCAAAGGAGTAATTTGTCTTCTCTGCCAAAATCACACGTTATGGGTCATGTACTGGTTAATGACCTGACGTTCGACGTGAACACATGATATTGATCAGTAAGCTCCTAATTTATTTAATGCCACGACTGACTTTATTTTTACCGTGACCAATTTTTCACCATGATATTGGTCCACCGGCACTGTAACAAAAGGTCTTGTCCTTGTAAATTAACCCCTACTGAGATACTATCGATTTCCTCTATGTTAATAACCTACGTGTTAGACGTCCAATGTTTTATTTGCTTCGTGCAATACACGCAAAGAGTTGTCGTTTTACCATTTTTATTGCTCGCGTTTTAGTCCTTGCGTCGAATTCGTTGACGTTAACGTTGCACTTGTTAATTTTTTTTCCTTCTATGGGGGTCGTCTTGAGTCTACATACTACCGTAAGCCTTATATTGAGGGTGTAAACCGTACGCGGTGTACATGTACACGTGTTGTACCAATTTCTCCTCTCTTCTTTCTTCTCGCAAATTCTTCCTTCCTTCCTTCCTTTTTTTTTCAACCATAATCTAGTTCTATGTTTTTAGTTACACAAACGGTTCATTCTGTATGTGAAATGACTGAAATAGTTCTGAGACGAAAAATTCTGTCCTTTTTAAGTAACTCTCCCAACTCTCTAGGATAAAATTATACATTTGGTGTAACTCAGTCTTTCAACTAAGAAATATCGTTACATAGTAAAACAACTATAACTTCAACAAATCGTGTTCATTACGCTCCGGGTAAAAGATTGCTCAATGTAGCATTCTTCAGTATAGTGGTAGCCTAATATAGGAATAGAATCTGTTTTATTGTTACGTTCTTCTTGCATCATAATCCATGTCGAAGTCAACAAAAAAATGCGAAACTATACATTGTTAGTAGTGATCCACGTCCCCAACTGGTTTTTAACTTAAGATATGACGCAAGGGTGGAAGTCCTTTAGTAGTCTACTATTTTGGAAGTTAGCCCCTTTTAGGACTTCCCTTGGACTTCCCGCATACTAATTTGGATTTTGGATTAAGTGCCTTCCTCCATAGTACGGAAGTGGATAGGTTTACTAATAAGCATCTCTCTACTACAACAGAAACAATAGGCTTGCCTTGGCTTGCCCCGTAAGTAACTTGAGCCCGGTTTTCGGACCGTCTAATAAAAATGTCTAATAAGGAATAAGAGAGGCGATCACCTAGCAACGCGAGAAACGGCTTCTTATATCTTATTTAGCGCTAAAACTCAGGTATATAAACAAAACACATAAAGAAAATGGAGTTGAAAAGTCTTTACAGTCGACTCCCGATAATTCGAACCTTCAAGGGAAACAGAAAAAAGTTCGAGTTATCGGGAGTTCTAGTTATCGAGGGTAGAATTATATAGAAAATGTTCTGAAGTAGCCTCCCCACAGACGTCCTTTAGGGTTCGTTCGTCACGCATTCATTTCTCCCCCACGGTCCGTGAGGGAGAAATGAATGCGTGATCGTTAAATTTCAGTTCGTTTGGCAGAAACTGTGTTACAACATTCCCCTGGCCGGGCTGCTTTAAAAGCATGTTGGCTTACGTGATTCATCCTCAGAACAGGGGCGGATCTAGGGGAAGAGTGCAGGGGGTGCGCACCCCCCCCCCCCTCCTGAGATGACCCACGGTTTTCTAATACAACTGGTATTCTGCAAAAAAAAAAACTATGTGGTTTATTGGTGTTGAAGTAGAGCAAGAGACGAGTGCACCCCCTCCTAAAAAAAATCCTGGATCCGCTCCGGCAGAATACCAAAAATCCTTCGTGT